TGCTGCCTTTATAGATGTGCTGCTAGTTTGACCTGAACTGCCCCATGTAGGCAGGACAAAGGGGAAGGCTGAGGCATGGGGATGTGCAGAAAGGGAAGGAGGAAGGGTAGAGTTCCTGGTGCAGCTCTCCTCAAACTGACCCCCTCCAGATTTGTGGGGTTACAGCTACTATCGTCCCTGGCACTGTTAACCTCAGCTGTGCCATCTGAGTGGCTGAAGTTGTGGTCCAACACTTCTGCAGGGTACCATGTTGTGACCCTAAGGAAACAGCCTCCAGCCATTCTGAGGACAGAAGGCTTTTCTGGATTGCTTTGGAGAATCGGCATTAAGCTGTACCTTCTACAAGGGCTTATTATTGTCTTCTTTATGGCCCTCCCACAAATAACAGGCTTTTAGGCATGGACATGGGAGATAGGCTGGTACCTGACACTCCAGACCAGCAGCTCTTGTGGCCTTCTTTGCAAAACTGTTCCATGGGCACTAGTATCATCTTCCTCTTGCTCTTCGACAGTTGCTTTACCTTGTAGTCAGTGGGCTTAATTCTGAGTACAGAAATGCATAGGCTTCTGCTCTTAGCCGCCCAAGCATTCACGGTTATGCTAGCAATATTGACTTTTTAACTTCTTCCATAGAGACTGTAGAACTGTAGCACAAACTTCCTGCCTGCATGCTATATTCTCTTTCAGACCCAAGGCTCAAGTAAAAAGTTTCAGTAATATTGATAAAGTAGAATGAGAGGAAACTTCACGTTTGACATTATAATTAGTTTTGGTGGTTGTTTTTATGTCTGAAAGATCCCTCTTCCTCCCTCCCTCCCTCTCTCCCTCTCTTTCTCGCTCTCATTTTTGAAGTGAAAATAGCCTGACCATTTACAGTCACGTTTTAATGGAGGAAATTGCCATCCATTATTGGACTGTCAGGACAAAATCACAGCCTCATGGGTACAAAAATAGACGAGTGATGAATACTTTGCTCTCATATTAATACAGCTGAGGAAATGGAAATTGGACCTCAATTACTGCAATATCCTCTAGTATCCCATATTTTGTCAAAGATAAGTATCCAGTTCATTGTCCCTCAGGCAATCCAAGGAGAAAATATTATTTCAAAACTGTCATAGCCTAAAGGTATTAAAAGAAAGTCATGTGATTATTTACTGCATTAGGCACTTAATGTTTTGTTTGCGTCAGACTCCAGAATTACAAGAATCAACAGACATGTTAAACGAGGACATGGGACACACAAGAAGCACTTGCCCATTCAAGATCCAGAGGCGGCCTAGCAGCTCACGGAAAGGGTTCTGGTGCTGCGCCCACCACTCCCTTTTCACAAACAAGCTTCAGGTACATGCAGCAACTTGCCATGGAAAATCTTTAGCAGTTCCTGTAAATGCACGTGCACACATATAAATGCACTTGTGCACGTGCGTGCACACCCCCCACTGAATGCTAGTTCTGTTTGCAATTTTATGTTAGGGGCATTTGAGAAATTCGGTCTTTGTCCATTCTGATATGAACTGTACTGGTCTGCACCTCCCAAACACGTAATTCCTAAAAATCTTGGGAAAATTACTGGGAGTTGGAGCTTTGCAAGCAATCAGACAGAAATGCAGGTTGTCACTACTTTTGCACTGACCGAATGCTCCAACAAAGTTCTTGGTTCAAAAGACATATCAAAATATGTTTAAAAGGCATATTAGAAGAAACAATAGTTTTGACATGTTTATTTTCAAAGAAAATAATCTTAGGAATGTCAAATTTTCATGCTTCTTTAAAAGAAAGAAAACCAACCAACAACAGAGTAATATAAAAATTGGATGGAAGAAACTCCTGTGTACTGTAGTGGAGTCAAGGCTAATTGAGTGGAAGCCCCAAAACTTTTCAAGGAGCAGACGTTGTGCCACCTCCACAGGATTCCCTGTTTCCTCTCAGTTGAACTGCAATCATCTGAGGAGCTGTAAGAGAAATGGACTTTCCCAGGAACAATATATTGTTGCAAGCCGTCTCTGCAGTCATGTGAAATATATGAGGCTGAGTTCATCTTGAATGGGCAATTTAGAGCCATTTACAAACTATATTGTCCTCAATTGTTGATTCCATCTGTCCAGCATCCTACATGTTTGGACTCTCCTTACAGTGTGAGGTGGCTATGATGACGCTCACAGTGAGCGCCTGCACCTCCACATTTAGCATTACATTGCTACTTGTAGGTGCACACACACAAAAGTGACACAGGCCCGAAATAGCCTGATTCACCTAGTCTTACTTGACATAATGGGGTTCTGTGATACATAAGCTGTCCTTTTCTTCTGCCATAAAGAACAAAAGTCCTTAAAATAATTTGA